TACTTACTATTAGTAGAAACCTTACTGTTTAGAAACTAGCTATAACAGTAAGATATTCTTTTAAAATAGTTATTATAGCCTTTAAATAATATAGTAAGCTAAAAAAAGTATAGTAAGGAAATTAAAAATAAGTTATAATAATCTAAAGTATTAGGTTATATAGCTATTTTATCTTATTATATATTATCTTTATAAGTAAAGTCTATTTTAACTTTTAGGTATATAATAACCCTTTTTTACTTAACTAGGTAATTACTTTTATAAAATACTTAGATAATAAATAAAAAAGGCCTAAAGTAAGTAAAGTACTTTGATTTTTATATAAGAAGTTATATAAAAAGTACTTACTACCTTTTTATTCTTAATAGCTATAAAAGCTATTATCTTATTAGTTTTAAGCTATATTATAAGAAGTAAAAGATTATTATACTTTATATACTACTTTATTTATTATATAAGCTTTAGCCTTTTAATATTAAGTACTTTAGTTTCTTTAAATAAGTATATAATTAAGAAATTAAGGTCTTTATATAAGTATATATTATATATATTATAAAAAAGACTTCTTTTTAGCCTTTTAGAAAGTATATAATAAGGTAATAATTATAGTAAATATCTATGTAGACTTTAAAGTAGCTAGCCTTATTTTATATAATCCTAAATATATAGTTTTATAGCTAGGTATAAAGCTTTATTTTATACTACTACTATATTCTTTTACTAGCTTACTAGAACCTTAGGTCTTAAAGATATTAAACTAGCTAATTAAATTTACTTTATAATCTAATTTAATTATAACCTAAATTATATAATACTAAAATAGCTTCTTAATGTTAATTATTAGATATATATAGTAGCTAAGAAAAAGATAATAGTAGTAGTATATAAAAAAGCTTTAATATAAGTAAACTTAGCTAAGTATGAGGAGGTAAATAAGTGTCTAGGCTATTATTATTAAATAATTTGTTTTTTAAAAAAGTAAAATACTTCTAATTAAAAGGCTAAGGCTAAAATAAATATAATAAAGTAGTTATAAGTAAAAATAAGTTAAAGTAGTAATTATATAAAAAAGATAAAAACATATATATAATAATATAGTATTTATAAAAAGCCTAGTTATAATACTTATATATATTAGAAAGTTAAGTCTACCTTTAAAGAAGAGGATTCTAAATAGTTTAAATAAATTTAAGGTGTTATAGTTATTTCTCTTATATGTTATTATATAAGTAGTAAAAAGTGGCCTAGTTACTTGTATAGCCTAGTTACTTATAAACTATATTATATAACCTTTCTTATACTATAAACCTTCTTACCTTATTATAAAGCTAACACTTTACCTCTAATACTATTTTCTTAAGGGAATAAAAAAGATCTAGTAGACTACTCTTCTATAACTTTCTCTAAAGTCTAGCCTCTTTCCTCTTAACAAATAGACCTATAGAGAAGCAATAGAGAGGCGGCTAGAACAAGCAACAGCTGCAAGCAGGGCAACAGAGGGGTAATAGATAGGTAGCTAGACAAGTGGCTGCTGCTAGAGGGTTAGTAAAATAAGTAAGCTAAGCTAAACCGCTAGGTCAAGACCGCAGAGGTTCTCCTAGGCCAGGGGTCACAGGCCCTAGGGGCCTATTTAGTAATAGGGGGTTCAAGCAAGGCAAGGCAAGGCATGGTTTACAGAGGAGGAGCTGCTGGGCAGCTAGGGATAGGAAATAAATAGGGGACATAGTCCTGTAAACAGCACTACTCTTCCTTCTGTACAGCGGAGGTTTAACAAGGGTGACAGGGACTAGGTGACAAGAACTAGATAACGTTAATTAGGAATAGCTTCACTTGGCCAAGCCATGTGGATACGGCTTATACGGGGGGAAGGGACGTGTCATAGGCCTGGCGACTTGAATGCATAACTGTAGACAAGGTGCAAGGTCATGAGTACTAGGGGGCGACGGTCACGCTAAAAAGAGCATACGGTACAGCGATCGAGACCACGACACTGCTGGCCGCGGTTATGGCGACTGCCAGGATGGACCTGGCTATGTACCGTAGATAGAAATCTCTTGAGAGTTGTCCTGTCCTTGGAATAAGCTTCGCCCCAAAGTCAGTTTCGTTATTTTTCCGAGACTCGTGGGCTGATCTATGTTCGTCCAGTCATGTCCTTTCATTAGAAGTGCGGGGGGGGGGTCTAGTGGGCCTATATCAGTCAGCCCATAAGGGATAAATCCACTTTCCCACCTTTAATAGCAGGGATCAGATTCAAATGCTGTTACAGCACTATGCCTACCTTCTGTTAAGTGGCCCTATTACTAACTTCTTCACTCGGAACCAGCTGACTCTCTGACATCTTGTTGCTCTAGGTAGTGTCTTCGAAAGAGTTGGTGTTGTCTAAAGAGTCGGCGTCGTCAAAAGAGCCACTGTGTTGAGAGCTTCCAGAATCAACTAACGCTATTGATTGCTATGCTGGCCCCGGGTTAAAACATTGGCTGCTGGGCAGTAGAGGAGTGGCTGAGAAAGCTATAGTTAGTTAAGTTCTGTATGGTGAAGTTGGTGGGGAGTTCGTGAATGAGAGCGATAGAGAGGAGCGTGCAGTCCGCGTGCCAGAGAATAAAGGTCAGAAAGAAATTACTTACCTGCTAGCCGTCCATAGGTTCTACATTGCAACAACAGCTCATTGGCAATTCCAGCTCTGGCTGTATTTTGCTGCTGATTAACCATGCCTGGGCGGTTTTTTGAAGCGTCTCTGTGTCTGGGTAATGCCTTGGTCAGAGGAATAGGCAGGGTCTATGAGTCTGTGCTTGCGAGCCGTTACCGGGAGGCGATCTAGATCGTAGTGATTTCCAGATTGTAGACGCCTAGTTGCTGCGGCTGCTGATACAGGAACGGAAACCGATGCTCTGGCGCAAAATCAGTTAGCCTCTTGAGGATAGCCCTCCTTGCAGATGGATTGAACCCCCCAAATCATTAGCGGCTACATTGTATGGTGTGTGTAGCAAAAGAAACTCTCGCATGTCATGCTTAAGGAAGTGCTTCCATGGAAGGGAAGTCTAAAAGGTGTATTTTTTAAAGTCGCCAAGGAGATTTGCCATCGTTAGTCGAGATATTTGGTCGCATAAGGTAGAGGCAGCGTCAATGGTAGGTTAGTGGGATGATTTGCAGGCTCCTGCAATGGCGGAGGCGGAGGATGATTGGGGAGGAAGGGGCTCCTGGATTTTGGCATTCTGTTCTAGTAAGCATAAGGGAGCAAAAATGCAGGAGAGGCTGAATTGGAATGAGCCACTTACGTTAGACGCGTCGCTCACGTCAAAATGCCGCTGGTGATTGTTCAGACAGACGAGGGCGGGGATGGAGAGTGTTGTAGGTGGCAGTCGGAGAACTTTGGCAGGAGGACGCAGAAACAAACGAACGGAGTACCTATGGACGTAAGGACGAGACGCGCGCTGCCTGAGAATTGTTGACGTAAGCGATGCTCTCGGACGGCCGCAAATTCTTCTGGAAACGCTTAGAACCTCTTGGAACACAGGTAAATCTAGCACAAGGTAAGAGTGGGTTTTTGCCTGACTGCCGGCATCTCGCTCACGCCAGGATGCGTTACTGACGGCATCTTGGCCACGTCGTGGTGTGAGAGGATCGGTCACATGACAAGTGTTTTTGGCTAACTGACGGCATCTTGGTCACGCCAAGATGCGTGAGGGGAAGACAAAAAAAGACATACCGCCAATGCAATGCAACCAACTTCCATCTCCAGGTGTGCAAACAAACAACTCTGACTCTATTTATCTAACCAACCTAGTTAGTCCCGACAGCGACACTCAAAGCTCGTGAGTCATGCAAAACACGCGTGTCCAATTACAATGTGGATGAAGGCTGAATTTGGAAATACAGGCATGACTGGAGACGCCCCGCCTCTCAACCGTCCACAGTGCATGGGTGCAACACCCCACGTTTGACGTCTCCCCACGCCCCTCGATTGATTCAGGCCGGTTAGCTGTGTCCGTGCACGCGTGCTAAATCTCAACAAGAAAAGCAGCAAGCACTGGGGTACCTTCCACCTCATGGATGCAGCCCTTCCCTCGTGTTGCCCTGTCAATGGTTCCTCCCCTTGCAGACGTTCATTGGTCTACATGTACCTTGAAGTACAGTCTCCGAAGCCACCCCACCTGTTCGCGAGCTATCGTTGGCCATCAGGATTTTCCGGCAGACGCAAACCTATGTTGGCTTCGCCGGAATATCTCTCAACCCCACCATCGTCAAGTCACCAGTACTTCTTCCACCTCTTGCTGCTCCTGCTGCCGCATGCCATGCGTGCACAACACGGCAACAACCAATTCGCTTCAGTCGCTTGCTCACTTGCTTGCTTCCTTCCTTCTACATTTATCGGATTTCCCCTCCCATCCTCTTTTGCAGTGAGTGACGGATCTCCATTTTCTTCTTCTTCTTCTTCTTCTTCTTCTTCTACACCAATCTTCCAGGCTATTAACGTTGACCAAGACAATCCGTCCCATGCGGGAATCTCACGCAGCGCCTCTTTACCCTCTCTACTGCTCGCTTAATCGACATTTATACTCATATCGCCGCCATCAATGGCGCCGTTACTGCTTCTGCCACTCAACCTCTTGGAACACATTGCTCTGTCCCTTGTGTGTCCATCTCGACCTGCCCCTGGCAGTTCCCTTTCATCTGCCAGGCTCTGCGACGTTGCTGCACTAGCGGCCACTTCACGCGAGTGCTATGCATTTGCGAACCCCTTGCTGCATACTGCAGCTATCGCCTTTGATCTCGTTGCGTCTCAGCTGGTCCATCACCAAGAAGCCTTTCTCTATCGACACCCCTTTCGCCTTTATTGTGCTGTCAAAGCCTATAAAGACCCTTGGCTGAGCGTGTCGGCAGTTGGGTATAGCCTACCCCTAACCCCTAACCCCCCGCATCTTTTGTCTCTCTGTCTCCTGACTGTGTGCTAACCGTTTTCTCCTTCTAGTCAGCCATCCTACGACCGTGAGCCTCTACTACTATGGGCTGTCACCTCTGGACGTCTTGATCTTTTCCACCGCCTGCTCCGACACGTCCCTGAGTCCCTCGTCTCTTTCCTCCTGGGCGTTCGCCTCGCAGTCCGCTGGCCCTGTCTTGACCAACACCAGGCACACTTGCCGCCACCCCTTGCACCAGAGAGTCCGAGAGAAACTTACTTCGCTGCTCCACTCCATGCGGCTGCACGCGCAGGCCACGATAACTTGGTAGAGTACATTCTCGACCGCTGCGATGGTGTCAATATCGACGCAGAGGCCCAGCTTCTTTGCCTGTGTCCATCGCCCCGCATTACTGATCCGCATGAGTTCTGTGCCACTCCTCTACACGTGGCGCTTTCCCACGGCCATCACTCGACAGCCAAGATCCTAATGCTCCGCGGAGCCATCTGGGATCGCCCCTTTGAGTTCTCTCGGGGCGTCACAGGTCTTCACATCATGGCTGCGACTGGCGCTGCAGACCTTGCCAACTGGATTGCAGACTCGCCTAGGGCCGTACTTAGGAGGAATGGACCCCTGCATGACTGGCCTGATATTGACGGTTTCTACAGTCTGCATTACGCTTGTCTGTCACCAGGAGTATCTAATGAAGCTTGCAGCAGCCAGCCATTTAGCACAGACTCCTCACGCCTTGTGTCCTCCCTGGCTCGTCTTGGTGCCATTGTTAATACTAAAGACAAGAAACAAGCTGCACACCGGCTTGCAATGGAGACCTGTCGCCTTGGTTCTCTGGTTGAGCGCTGGTGGGTAGATCCCAATAGGAGCCAATCAGACTGGCTGTACTGTATTAAGTACTGGGAGAGGGACATGAAGGATTCCGAGTTTGCTCCCGACGAGCCAGCAGCTTTTGCCGCTGCTAAGGGTTTACACCTTATGTCGCATGCAATTCGCCACTTGGGCAATGAGCCAGGAGCAGGAGCTGTGTTTGCCTAGCTATCTTGATGATGTTAAATAGTCTGTAGCATGCATACATGTAGGAAAGGATGTCACTAGAAGACAATGTTAGTTACTATAGCATAAACTTAGTGATGTAAGCAATGCAGGATTATAGAGAGTAATATCTTCCTTTCTTCTACAAGACATAACAACCTACGACGGCGCGTCTGCCTATTTTTTTGTCACATCGTCCGCAACCTTCTTTTCTTCGTCTTGTTACGTTTTTCCTCCTAACCACCATCGCAGCCAACTCTTTTCTTCTTCTTTTTTCTCTTCTTATTCTTCTTTTAGGCATTTCTTACACCCGCTCCAACCATCACCATGTCTGCCAACAACAACAACAACAACCAGTGGCAGCAGCAGCAGCAACAGCAGCAGCAGCAGCAGCAACAGCAGCAGCAGCAGCAGCAACAGCAGCAGCAGCAGCAGCAACAGCAGCAACAGCAGCAGCAGCAGCCGCGACAGTTACGGCCCCGTGCCCCCCCTCCCCCCTCTCCGGTACGGTATTCCCTGTCGAGTCGCTTGCATAGTCTACAACTCTGGCGAGAGAGAGGCCTTGGGGGTAGCTAGGATATGGGGTGGATCCAACACGTTGCTGACATGTTGGTGTGAACAGAACTTCGTCCAGACATTCCCTTATACGGCCACACCTACGATTGGCTTGGTACGGCGCTATGTCAACCAGACTGTGGTCCCCGCCTACGGCATCAACCCTGTCTCGGCCTCGCGCGCCTCCGCCACTCTCCTCACCAACCTCGAAGGAGAGGCCCGGTTCCTGGGTCGCGAGCTGCGTGCTGCTGCTGTCGTTGACCCCGCCGACGTCCGTGCTGCTGCCGCCCTCCGCGACCTTGCCAACCTCTGGCCTAACGGTTACTGGTGCCCGCCCGCCTTCATTCCCCCGGGCAATCTCCCCGAATCCCTCCTAGTGGAGATGAAAAAGTTCTCCGATATCGTTGCCAGCGGCAGGGGCCCCCAGTGGCTCCCCCAGCTTTGGAATCCGGCTCCAGGCCCCCATCCTGTTGGAGTGCTCCGCGCTGCCATGCAAGGTAACGTCTACCTCACCCGTCAGGCCATTCGAAACGCCCGTGCCGACTACAGCCGCCCTCCTATCCCTCCCGCCCCTCCCCTCCCGCCCGCTCCCGCTCCAGTCGCGCCAATCCCCGCCTGGATCCGCGCCCAGTTTGACGCCACCCTCCGTGAGCGGCGCCAGGTGCTGGAGGCCATCGAGCAGCAGGCAGAGCACCAAGAAGAAGAAGGAGGAGGAGGAGGACCCCAAGGAGAAGAAGACCAAGAAAGAGTAGCAGCGCAAGAACTCGGAGCAGGACCAGGACAAGAAGAAGAAGAGGGAGATCAAGGTCGAGAAAGAACAGACCAGGACGAGGAGGGCTTTGGTGGCAACTGGGACAGCGACCTCCCGGATACTCCCGCCCGTCGCACCACGGGCCACCCAGAGACACCGTTACTGTCTGGCGGCCCCGACTTGAACCATCTAGCTCGTGTTTCAGGCCGCGTGTCCTCGGTTGGCTCTCTCAGGGGGCACCTAGACCCCTTTGCTAGCAACAACAACAGTGACAACGACGATGACGACTATGGCGGCCTCGACCGCGGCCACGATGGAGAGCGAGACTCCCTCCCAGCAAGCCAGTCCCACAACACGCCTGCCTACGACGACATCGACGAGCTAGACATGGACAACGAGGTCGACGACCTAGTCCCACCCGCCCCGCGCCCTGCCCCCGCCCCCGCCACCCGTTGCTCCCAGCCTTACCAGTCCGTGGACGAAGCCATCGCCGCCGTCTCCAACGGCGCCAGCTCCTCCACCTCCGCTCGCCTACGCCGCGCCGCCGACTTCTTCACACCGGCCCAGAGACGTGCCATTGCCCGAGAGTCGCGCCAGGCCACTAGGGCCATTATGGAAAGGTTTGCCGCCGCCGCCGCCAACGCCCAGGAGAGTGAGGACGATCCTTTCCAGAGTCTAAGCTCAAGCTCGGATGAGGGAATGGCGGGTGGCGTTCGGGGTGGCCGAGGAGGCCGTGGTGGTCGTGGCGGCCGTGGCCGTGGCCGTGGTCGTGGACGTGGTCGCGGACGTGGAGGTGTCAGTCGCGGCTGAAACGTGCTTTTGCTTACCTTTGTGTGTTTGCCTATGTTGTTGTCTTCTCCCCCTTTAGAGGTGAGAGTTGCTTTCCGTTGTTGCCATCTGCCTGCATAAAAAGAGCAGGACTTAGGCCCCCGTCATCTTCTTGTTCGAAACCACACCATCGCCAGACATTTCCACGTGATTCTCCCCCTGCTATAGCATACTCAATGCAGCGCCCAGCTGACCCGTACTAGTAACACGACTTTTAAAGACTACGTCTCTAGATATTAATATATATTATAATATACAAGCTATATTACTTTCTATGTAATAAACAGTATTATTATTATTAGTATCATAAAGAATTATAAGTATTAAGTAGTAGTACTATTAATCTAGCTATTAGTTATTTAAATGGATAATAATAAAGAAAAAAAGAAGAAGAGGTTACTACTATAGATTATTTATAATAATAAGAGTAAGCTGTTAAGGTAAATTATATAAGGTAGGTTATATAACTCTATTTTAGGTCTACTATTTACTAGTTAAATATATTAATACTAGTAACTCTTTAAAATAAAAGGAATTTACGTTTAATAGCCTAAATAGCTACTTAATAGCTAAAAAGCCTTAAAGCTAATAAAGATTTAAAGGCTTAAAGATATTTAATACTTTCTATTTATATAACCTATTATATAGCTTTGAAACCTAATATTTTTATAATAATTTAAACTATTTTATTTCTAACCAACTGTTATAACCTAATAAGTTATAGGCTATATTACCTTACTTAATAGGCAGATAGTAGGCAGTAGTAGTATTTATATAAATAAGAACTAAACAATAAATAAATAACTTCTTAAAATAAAGAAACTATAGTATAAGTTATATAATTATAAGCATAAGATAAAATAAAGAATAAGTTCTTATTTGTAAGTAAAATAAGCACTTAGTAGATACCTAAGTAAGTGCTAATTTAACCTTAAAGCTATTAGTTAAATAAAGTATTTAGGAAATAACTAGGACTTATATATAAGATAGACTAAAATATACTTAAGGATAGACTTCTATAGGTCTTTAGTATTTAACTTATAATATATTCTTTAAATACCTTTTAGTATTTAACCTTAGTAATTTAATTAATAAAAAGCTATATAAGCTACTTTATAATATTAACCTTATAATTAATTACTAGTTAATTAACAAAATAATAAGATTAATATTACTGTTTATTAAGTATTAACTTCTACTTACTATTAATAAAAACCTTACTATTTAAAAACTAGTTCTAATACTTTAATTACTTTTATTAAGTAAGTTAACCTTAATACTTACTTCATAGTATTTTATAATATTTATACTTAAGATAATTTTAACTTCTTTTTAGCTTAAGAGAAACGTAGCTAATTAGCTATAAGGAGCCTAAATAAGAAAATAGAAAATATTAAGAAATCTAATAATAAGGTAGACTTTACTTTAGGTATATTATTATAAGGAATAAAGTAGCCTTATATAGTAAATTACTATATAACACTACTTCTAGTATAATATTACTTTTAAATTTAGAAATAAGGTAGTATTTAGCTATAAGGTATAGTCTAATACTATCTAGAAATAATACACTACTTTTAATTATATAAATTACCCTTATAGTAAGACTACTTTATAATAGTTATAAACCTAGCTTTAACTTAAAGTATAACCCTTACTATTATAAAGTAGCCTTACTTTAGATTTACTTTTCTTAACTTACTATCTTTCTTTAATATTTATAATAAAGTTATTATATTATTAGATATACTTATTAGTCTTATAACTACTTATAAGCTATATAGATTATTATTAATCTATAAAATCTAGTTCTTATAGTATATAAAGCTTTACTTTTTATTAATAACTTATAATATTTAGTAATTTATTAGTTTAAATAACTAAGAGAAGCTGCTTAAGTATTTAGGTAATCTAAGCTATATAAAGTACTTTTATAAAAACAATATTAAGTAATATAAGATCTACTGTACTACTTTTTATTTATAAGAGTAGTTAGTAACTAAGTAAAAGTCTAATACTAAAAAGATAAAGAAGCTAATTAATTTTATAAAAATAAATAAAGCTATAAGAAATAAATAGCTTATATTTATAAAGAATATATTATAATAAAAGCTTTAGATCTATAAGTAATATAAGGCTAATAATTCTATTTCTTTATAAGTCTAAATAATAGTAATAAGTAGTTTTATAAATAGAATTTAATAGTAACTTTTAAATAATAAGATTAAGCGTCACTTTTAAAGTAATAATTAAGGTATTTAAAAAGTAATATACCTTATAGTAAGATAATATAACTATTTTTACTTATAAGTAATATAATAACTTCTTTTTAAAGGCCTTATTTACTAGTAATTTAGTACTATAGTTATTTAAATTATACCTTTTACTTACAAATAGTAAATTATTTAATATTCTTAAGATTTAAAGTATACTTATAATTAAAACTTTTCTTTAGGCTATTAAGTAATAAGTTATATTATTATAAGTATTAATAGAAATAAGCTCTTAAAACTAAAGTAAGTAGATCTTTAAGCTAAGATTAAAAAGAAGAGTTAGAAATAACTAAATAATATAGTAGTAAGGAAATACCTCTATATAACCTTTATTATAGTTATAATTAATCCTAACTTATTACTACTTACTATTTTAGTTCTTAATATATTATTACTAAAGGTATTTTCTATACTACTTTATAAGTATTACTATTTGAGTAAAAGTAGTATATATAATAACTATAAAACTATTTATATTATAAAGAATAAATTACTTTTTAAGCTAGAATTACTTTAACTTAATATATATAATTGCTATATTAAATCTAGTACTACTTTATACTTTATAAAGAGGTATAGTAAGTATACTATAAAGAGCTTACTTAATAAAGCTAAAGGACTAAATATAATAAACTTTATCTTTAAGAATATTACTTATATCTCTAGCTTTAATATTAATTCTACTTTAAAGTTACTAATTAAGAAAATAGGTATATAGTATTTAAGTTTTAATTATACTTTTTATTTTAGATTAATAAGGAATAGCGTTATAATAAAGAAGCTTATTATTAAGAGTAATATTATTTTCTTTAAATAGAAGCTCTTTACTGTCTATTTGCCTTATTATTATATAAAGTTATTTCTTATAGCCTTATAAGTCTTATTAACACCTAAATATTTACTATAACGTTTTATAAATTATAATATATGCTAATAGATTATAGTAATAACGCCTATTTATAGTATTTATATATAAGGTACCTTAGACCTAAAGCCTTTATAATGCTCTTATCTAATACTTAAGAGGTAAAGATTAAAGGTCTAAGTTATATTGAATATAAGTACTATATTATTACCTATATAAGCTAATTTATCTTAAGGTATATATCTAAGAATTACTTAATAATGCCTTACTATTATATATTATCAAACCTCTTTAATCTCTTAATAGGATTTAATTACTTTAAATAGCTTATTACTATTAGAGCA